GTAATATACTCGTATGCATCAATTTCGTTAATATTAATGCTAGGGTTTTGTGAAGTTTCAAAAATTACTTGAGAAGTGAAATATTTTTTTGAAGTTGAAAACCCAACTCTTCCTTATTCAAAAATATTTTTCCATTATTTTCTTTTTTTGGTATCAGTAAATGTGATTACTGTAGTCATTAGCTTCGAATTCTGAGTAGGCTACATTATCGGACATGTTCCTAAAAATATCTGGTTGAGGCAGATTTGAACTCACGATCTCTAGGTTAACAACCACGTAAACACTACTGCTATAATTCACCGCTTTAGAATAGAATAGAATTGAGTAGTTTATTGGTGCTGTTTAACATTAAGTTTTACACAAGTCGAAATGAATATAAATAAAATATACTAAAATTACAATATATAAAACACATTTATATAATTTACACGTTAGAATCTTTGGTTATCTGAAATACAAGTACAAGTGTCAGTCCATATCAATAATGATGGTACTGTTGAGATACTCGTCAAATTTATAAAAAGCCTTACTGGTCAAATAATTTTTTAAAACTATTTTTAGTTTATTCCTCTCCAGATTTTTAATATGTATCCACGACAGTTATCTTTCATGTCAAAAAAATAATTTTATATTCAAGAAATATATTCACGCTAGCGTGAATAACTGTCTTTAGTTTGCGTCTTACTCTACACCCTCTCAATTTGTTATTGTGTTTTCTAGTCTATTTTCCTAACTGTGGGCTCTGTTGTACCTACTTTTATTAATGGCTGATCATTAGAAGGTTATATGTAAAAGTGGCCATAGGCTAAATATGGCCTTCTATTGATCGAATAAGAGGATTACATCATTATATTGTGATTTATATATCAAATTTTTCTACAATGAAGACGATTATTATTATTATCATAAATATTGACTGAAAAAATGAATGGGTGATTATAGAATGGGATGATGACACGAGTATTTTATTTGAGATCATGAGGTGAGTACAGTTTTGGGTTTCCTGAGGATATATACACATTTTGTTGTGAAAAGGGATCTCAGTTCCTCATTTTAAGATGTTTGCCTTTCTTAATTTTAAATTGTTGTGCCACTGCTTGAAATTCGACTGGCTTATAAATACTTCGAGTGAGTCTGTACGACTCACTCGAATTTTAGAATGATGACTTTCGAATATTTCAATATAAATTGTCTGGTAGTTTACATAAAATCAAATATCCAACTAGAAATGCAGGGTTTGTATATACGAACCCTCCCCGGAATGTTCCACTTTTGGATTGCAGTGACATCTTCCAATTAATAACGAAATAACAGACGTACGTTTGAAAACATTTCTGTAACATTAAGGGACGAACTTCAAAGTAGTTGGTCTAACTACTCCATGCTAGATGTCACTAGATAAACTAAAATTCCATATTGGAAGAGTGAGCGGCATCTAGGATTACTAATTCGAACGTCGAACTCTAGGGAAGCATTGTTTATTGTTATAAGAAATTGTAAACACAAACATTCAGATACACTGAATAGTCTTCTGTGAGCCAGTATAATAATTATTCCAGAAAATACATACTTTCCTAGAAAGTTCGAAAATAGCAGAAGAATGGAAAATTAAAGTTATTGTAGTGAACGCTTCAGGTGAGACTTTTATTCGTAACTGGGCATTATTTATTTTGTTATATCAAACTATAATAGATTGCTGTACATAATGGGTATCGAAATCAAACTGCCCTGTGAAAATTCACACAGATACTATTTGAATTATCGTCTTCAAAACAGTGTGAGTGAAACTTGGACGATGCCAATACCTGTATTCAAAAATAACCCTCTGTTTACTCATTTGGCCTATACGAGCCTTATATATGCCCTATACATGATTAGTGGCATTGCACTTGCAGCAGTTTCATTCGACCAGAAGATAAGAACCTCTCATTGGCTTCAAGTTTTGCTTACTGGGTACCTGGAATGCAAGAAAGTTTTTGACTTTTAGTGAAATCTGCCGAATTGGCACATTCCAAGGCAATAATATATAGTGCATTTCTTTAATGCCCACCACCTTTTTATTTTTTGAACGGGTCAACTCAAAAAATTGAAATTTAGTATAAAGAAATTAATGTATGAATACAGGATGGTGTCTTCAATACCTTAGTCTACCGCAGTTGTGTGATGGGTATAGAGATTCCTGACACAAGGTGCAGGGCCTGCCGCGAGGCGTCCGAGACCCTAATGCACTTGCTATCAGCATGTCCTGCATATGCGGTCTCGGCCTATATCCATCGACATAACGCGGCCCTAAGAGGGCTATATTACCATCTACGGCACTCTTACGGTATTGACGAGACACCGGTGTTGCCCTACGCTCCGGGGGATATTGAATCCGTTGTGGGGA